CTGAGGGAGCACTCAATCCCCTTATCCAGATTATTGATAAAGATATTAAACAAAACTGGCCCCAAAACTGAGCCCTGATCATCCATTTCATTAACACCGTTTCTTACTATCTTACATTGATTAAGGAAAATAACTTTTCCTGCTATTTCTTATGTCAGTAAAAGCCATACGTGCTGGTATAGCTCTACGATTCAACACCTGACCACACAGAACACATTCTATAGAATTTTGTGCTCTAGCAGTCAGGTATATATGTTCTTTAGGTGCTCAAAGAGGAGGATCCAGACATAACCTGCTGAATTGGTCTTGTGAAAGAACTCAAGATATAAAAAAAATTATTATTCTTAAAATGAGTCTACACTCTTATAAAAATTCACAGTCTTTTATATTAAAAATTCACTATCTATTTCAATCTTGTCTTACCTTTCCCCCAAACCAAAATGTTTCCGCTTGAGTCTCCTGTAATAGTATCACCATTTTCAGAAAAGGTCACACACAGGACAAACTTTGGCTTCTCTTGTTTCTGCATGGTTATGAAAAATATACACTCACAGCAACACACAACCCATTCATTTTAACTGTATACGCTTGAGTAATTTAGCTTAGTCTTATACAGCTGTATTATTACTTAAATATCTACACAGGAGTTAAACACATTCCTACAGTCTAAACAGTTAATCTGTGCAAGGGCAAAAGATGCATCAGTTGAGGTTGGTGGCCCAGTCCTGCTCCCTTTAAGTACAAGTTAGGGGCAGAGCAGGTGAGGTGGCCTGCCAACTTTTAACACAAGACCAGGAACGCTCTGAGATAAACCCCAACGCCCACATAATCCCAAAGGCTTTAAGTATTTAGAAATGGCCAAAGATGCAAACAAGCTTTATTACTGTAATTTTTAAGTCCAAAGTTTCTAGGAGAAAAATGTTACTAGAGAGTTTGGCTGTAGTGCAAGAATTAAGAAATCATCTCTTGAAAAAATCCTAAGGTTCAGTAACCGTTCAGTTGCTTTGAGACCCAGCATTTAAAACAGTGATGGCAACAAAACAGTGAAAAGTATAACGGGACATAAAAATTCACCAGCTAGTTGCTTCTAAGAACATTATTTACAATGTTTGTCAACTACCGGTGTGCATAGCCTCCTTCTCCCTCAAACTAAGAACTGCTCTGAACTAGGGCCACACTTTTCCACCTGCAACAATCATCGAGAATAACAGAGCCATGAGAGGCAGAAATCTGCCCAAGTAGCTTAGGAGTTAAAAATGAATGAAATGTAACAAAATTTAAACGCATTATCTCGGCATCTCCTCCTGATTTCACACAAAGTATATTCATTGACATTGCAAAATGGTTGTTTCGACTAGACTTGCGAGCCTGGACTCCACAAGCAGCTAACGAGGCCCTCCTGGAGTTATCTGCAGTCACCGCAAACAGCCCTCACTTGCACATGCAACTGCGGTAGAGCTTAGTCTATATTTAAAAACAAAACCAAATCAAGACCTTGAAATAAAAAATTATATTTACCGAATAGTGGCCAGCTCAATCTGTATTTGAATTACATATGTGTATGTATCTGAGCAAAACAGACGAAGAGGGAAGAATATTCATATTCGTGTAATTTATGGGGCTTTGCAAGTCTTTCCTCTGACAAAATAAAAAAGCCCCAGCAAATATCACATTCTATTTTTTTTTTTAACCTGAGGTAAGCATAGCAAGTTTTAAGGTAATTTTGTTTTGCGGGAGGGGCAGAGGCGGTGTAGCATAAAGAATATAGGAAAAAGCATGCAAGGAACAAATGGTAATTGCATTTCAAAACTTCATTGTGGAAGCTGCATTGAAATGCAATTTCAAAACCACCCGTGGAAAAGGTCTCTGTGCCATACCATGAATGCTACCTGAGTTTCTGCAAAATTTCAAGTTTAGTAACAGTCAGTTCTTTTGATTTACTCAAGACTTATTAACTCTTACTTCTGTATGACTGTAGCATTATTACAAACATAAAATTAAGGGAAAATTTTATTTTACCTCAAATAATCCTTGCTTTTTAACAAGGGAATTCCCTTCTAGTGTCCAAAAATAAAGGTGTGATTTTCCACAAGTAACTATTATATTTGTATCAGTAGGGTGAAAATCTGCAGCAAATACAGCCTCATTAGAGCACTTGAAAAGGAAAAAAGAAAAACATTGTATCAAGATTTAAAATTCAAAGAAAATAAAATGATATGAAATGGTTCTCTAGTTAGATTAACTGATCAACTTTAAGAAAAATTCTGACCTATTCATTTATTAGTGTAGACTAGAATACTTCGGTAGAATACTCTGAAGTCAAAAGATTTTTTGTTTTTGTAAGTTAGTATCAAAAGTTATCCTTCAAAACTATGTCAGATAATGAGAAGTTCTGCACAAAAGATTAGTTTAAGACGTTTCTTTTCTGCACATGCTCCTACCATTGCATTACTTTTCTAATCAATTCTAGAACAATTACAATAGCAAAATTTAAAACAAAAAAACAAATTATTGGGATAATCTCAACAGAGAGAGAAAATACTCCCTTTCTTCATGTTCTTTGCCTCTTATAAAATGAAAGTCTTAAAAAGGCACAAGACGTTAAATATAGAAAGACATTTTATGATAAGAAATCCAAATCTACATACAAGCAAGTAGTACAAAATATCTTATTGCAACACCTTGACATCTGCCAGCTTTTCTTCTTTCTGCCAGTCCCACACAGAAAGCACGTGGTCGTTTGAGTCATCCACAGAGCACAGGCTACTTCCTCCATTCTGAGGCAAAACATGGAAAATATTAATGCATCCTCCAACCAACATTAGAAACATGTAAATACACATTTAGAATATTTAAATATTTCCGTGCAGGCGAATTTATACATATTTACACTTTAATTGTTATACTTTTAGTTATCCCATAGATCACCATGAAATATAATATTTTATAGGACTGCTGAAAAATAGGACTAAAAAGGGATCTAGAAGAGGAACTCTTGCAAACTGTGGGCAAACACACTTTGTCAAGAATGAGGTAGGTATCTCTTTCCAAACTCTCAGTGATGGAAATTCCCAAGGTGAACTACACATCATTATCCAAACTGTTACGAAATCTCTTCCTGACGATTATGTTGTGTTTCTTTCTTTGCAATTTAAACCAATTACTTCTTATCAGACCTGCTATGGACAAGGAGAACAATTTTACTCTTCATATAAGAATAATGGATCTTATAATAGATCCTACTACTTAAAATAGTAGTAAATTAGAAAACAGTTTATTCCTGACAGGTATCTTTTTCATAGGTCTATCTTCTACCAGTCTATATAATCTTATTGACCCTAATTTCTTCAGTCTTTCTTCATGCATCATATTAGCTAGACCTTCTCCAGTTGGTGCCCATTCTTCTGAAGTATGAATCCAAAGACTGGATGAAGAACTCCAACTCAGACTCTTCTTGAACTGAGGGGAGGTGACCGACATTGGCCTCACCAGTGACGGGAACTGCTGTACAATCATCAGATCTTTTTCCAAATAGCAGCTACTTTTTGGACCACTTTTTCCAATCTTTGGTGTTCATTCCTAGCAGTGTGTCTACAGTGGAACAAACCATCAAGTAATGTCTAATTGCTTTCCAACCCATTCAAATATGATTTTGCATCCTGTTGCTCGGGGCATCAGCTACGTTAGCTTTGACTGCAGATGAGCTTGCTGGAACAGACTGAGCCTGCGGTTACACAAGCACTCCTTTGGCAGCGACGCTGACACAAGCAGTCCTTCCTCTGCCACCCATAGCAAGGCCGCTTGTTGCTGCCTCTTGAGCTGAGTCACCGCAAAAGTCTGGACTATCATAGAGTGCGCCTGTTTGGGGAATGGATCAATTTGGGAGAGGGAGTGGAAGACCCAAGCAAACTCTGCTTCGTTTTTTTTATATATTAAGGATGCATGGTCGTTTTCCTGATGAATCAGGACTCTAATACACATCTCAGATGCAGCTACAAAAATAACTGTGCCAGTGCAACTCAAGAGGCGGGACAGAGACAGGACTGAGTAGCCTGAAGAAAGGGCTGTCTAAAATAAGACAAGCGTACTGCTATGGGATGGGACGTGAGGCTCAAAACAAGGCTAAGCTCTGACTCTGAAATCATAGCAGAAAGCAAACATATTAAACACTCGCTTTCTCGTGGCATCTGCCAATAGAGATCCTGTTATTAAGTACCTATTTCTTCCTCCAGGGAGACATTTACAGAGTATTTGCTTGCTACTCCTTTTTATTCATCCTTCAAAGCTGACCTTGATCTGCGTAGTTTTTCACCTTTGTATTCTTAACCAGCTCTCCCAATTTATTCCTTTCTATTTCTACTTCCTATAAAATACTGTGACCAATTGATTTCAAGTACTTGTGGAAACTTCCACTGAAGTACATTTTGCCTACGGAATACACCGTTTAGTCCTCTCCTTTTTAAAAATGCTGTCGAGCCAACCAGATACCACCAGATACACGGCTTACGGATTCTGTTCTCCTTGGAGGGTTTCTAGACTTGTGCGTGTCAGGTTACAAACTCATGTTTTCCATATGGACTTGAATGTCACCTATGTCTTTTTTTTTTTTTTACCTCAATAGACTAGAGCTCAAAGTATGGTGCCAAGAGGCTAACAACAGGATTCTAGTTCTTTACAGTCCTTTATCCGTATGCCTTTGCTGCTTTCAAGCAAAAGATTTTGCTTCTCCCATGGGAGCTCTCATTTTTTTAAATCCAAAATCAGAGGTACAGGCCATTGTAAAGGTCTTTCATCAGTCATTCTTAGGCACAGCGTAGGGGTTAAAAGATGCAGAGAGAGTAACTTTCTTATATAGGAAGAAACGCAATGGGATGATTAAAGAGAAGAAGTAAGGATACTGAAATTTCAAGAACACAAGTACTTCTGCAACTGCTTCTCCTTAAAGAAATTAATTGGTTTTTATGGTATGCACAAGGTAGATCTCTGAGACTGCTGAGATACTGCTAACCTTAATAGCAATATAAACTGTTGGAAACAACTGAGTTGCAAGCTTTCCTCCTCTAAAGAGGAAGCTGAGAGAAAAGACAGCTTGGAAGTTTGTTTTGGTCAAGGAAGCTGAATTTGAAAGACTTCAAAGACCTGTTCAGCAAACATTCTTAATATGACCATTTATTTTACTTACAGATTTAGAAAAAGCAATGCAAGTGACAGCTCGATCAAAAAAACCCATTCCGATGACATGCAGTGTATTCAGAGTTACAGAATCCCAGACACGCACATGTGGTGGCAATTGCTATAAAATAGACACAGAAATAATAGCTGAAACAATGGTGGCAAAAAAAAAAAATCAGGATTTAAAAAAAATGAGAATGCATCCCAAAAACATTTTAACACAATTTAAGGTATGAAAATTATCAGAACTTCTCTAGAGACACCCATGTAAGCACAGATATGCTACAAACGATTTGCTGATTATTGTGCCTAGAACCAGTGTCTGAGACTGACTATCCAGAGCATACAGCACGTCAGGTCGCACTGACCTCAGTTAGTTCACTGAAGTTAATGGGCACTGAGACATCCTTCAGTACGTGAAGACTGGTGAAGACCTAGCAACATGGGACCTATTGGTAGGTCCAACATCATCAGTTTAAACTGTAGCAACCGACAAAATTCTGGTCAACATCAAGCAGCAAGAAAAAAAAAAAAGATAAAGAATTTCTAAAACGTAATTAATTTCAGTACCATAAAAATGGCTGTAGAAAAGAACTGTACAACTGTAATCTGAACTTTCTTTTTGTACATAAAATTCAAGGTATACATAATGGCCCAAGACGGATTCCCTACGAAAACCAGGTGGTTCCCCCTCCCTCCCCTCTACCTTGACTTCTGCACCGCAGAGCCCCACGCAGGCCCAGCCTCGTGGAGGCAGAAATGCTTCTCAAACCCACTAGAGGGCAATCCCAGGAAGTACTTGCTGATCTAGTTTTATTTTAAAAATAGGAGTTTAATACAGTATCTTCAACCTTTGCAGGAAAAGAACAAAGGCCATGTTTTACTTCCTTTTTTTCCCCGTCCTTTCAAATAAAGCCAGTATGTTTTGTTACAGTATCAGGAGAAAAAAAAAAAAGCAACAGCCATCTGCCTTTCTTGCTAATAAGCAGCGAAATTGCCCTTAAAAACAAATAAATTAATAAATCAAGGCCACCTCCGTATCTCAGTTGTATAAATGACTTTTATATAAGCTTACCTATACACCACATTTCCCTCAAGCATACACATCAAACCTTTAGATTTTATTTCACAAATACAAGGGTAAGTAATTGTATTTATGAAGTTTAAAAAAAACAAATACCAGACATTTCTCCAACACACAATAAAAACTATTAGTTTATGTTACTCAACTAAGTTACCTTTACATAAACCTTCTATTGCATAACTGGGGTTTTATTTTCCTCATTTACTTAAAGTACTTAGCATATTGATAATCCGTTTTTATCCCAAAATTCTTCATTGACATTTACCAACAATTTTGCAATAGTTTGGCTGTGACTTCAGCTGCATACTCTGCTGAGTAACTTTTTCTTCATGCTTTTCCTGCCTCTGCTTGCATCCATTCTTTTTCACTTGTCTTAGCTCTTTGGAACAATGTTCATCTTACACTGTTCAAATAAATTCCTAGCCTACAGCTAAGTTTTATGATAATACAGGTAATAATAAAGAGAAAAAAATTCTTGCCTAGAGGATGGCAAGAGTAAGATTTTTTTTTTTTTTTCAGCAAACAACCCATTGTTATTTGTACTTTGGTTTTGGTACCTGCAGTCAGAAATGAGGTGTATACTGTACAATATAATATCCACTGCTTCTCCTCCATTTCCCCCCATCCATCTGTCCTCTGAGGTCTCCTCTGTAGACTCATCTTTCCATGTCTTTTTTGGAGACCAGCTCCAAATTTACCTTCAGTCTGTCTACATAATGGAACCAGAAACCACTGACCAGTCTTGACAATGGAACTGGGTAACTCTGATAGCATGCAACAGGCACTCTCAAATTAAGTTTTCCTTGCATTTGGTCCTAAGGTGTAAGACCAATTTAATTGTTACATGAAAAGAATATAGCATGTATCTTCTTAATAGCATATTCTTATGAAATATAAGCAACTACATGTCAGCAGAGGGGTCACTCACTTTTCCATCCTTGGATGTCCCTGCAACTTGACCTGTTGCTATAGTGATCCTATCAGGATGGACAGCCAGGCTAAAAAAGAAAAGAAAGAGAGGCTAAACTTAAAGCCAATTATTATCTGTTTACATGAGCTCATAATAAATAGTCCTATTTTAGTCATATAAAGCACAGAGCATACATGTAAACATTTTAAATATACAGAAACAGAACTGACAAAACAATTTTCATTTTATTCAAAAAACTCTTCTTCCCTTATCAAAAAGGCAGTAATTTGCCTAAGTCCTAATATCTCACAGCATGTATCAAACAAGCCCCAATCTCACTCATGTTGGGATTCATCTCGTCTAGATTGATGTTATTGTGGTGTCTAATGTCTCTGCGAAAAAGCAACCTAAAATTTGTATTAAAGCCTGGAGTACAGTCTATTTTTGCCCTAAATCCTCTCTTAATTCTTTTTTTTTTTTTTCACTGTAGCTGCTTTGCATACAGTTCTAGAGCCCAAATGCCCTGCAAAATGAACTGTGGCAATAATTCAATTTTATAATGCAGAAAGGTATCCTCTTTCCAATAAACCTGAAAGCTTTGAAATATCTAGAGAGTCAGAAAATTTCAAAGAAAGAAATGAGATGGAACAGGTCCAAGTTAAAAATCTCCTTGTAAAACAACAAGATTATACAAATAATCCAATTTTATGAAACATGCTCACAATGCAACCAGATTTGGTTACCAGGTCTATTTTTGACTTTTGAGGGACAACAGGTGTTTCATAATGCTTAGTCTAATGAACGGATGTCAAACTCATTTCATACATTAGGACCCATCACATAATCCAGGTGCTCTTTTTCAGCTACTCTCCGCAAACAAACAGATACCATCAAGATAAACCATACGTTTATTTAGGTTTCAATTTAATGATACTGGTATTTCCTGATATCTAGTATCCTCTAAGCTTGAACACAGCTAAATCACTTTGAAGCCCAAGCTGGCATGTTTGCATGGCAGCAGACAAACCAGGCTGCTGAGGACTAGTTTACAGGATATCTGCCATGATGCAGACATGCCTGGAGACTACCAGGAAGACTGCAAATGAGATTAAAACTGACTCATTGGTCAGATTGAGCCTAAAGGACCTTTATCTGGCACCCAGACCCAGGTGAAGATGAATAATTCAATGCTACTTAGACAGGGGAAGGAGAAGCGTCTGAAGAAGTTAATGTTAAATCATCCTAAAAACAGAGGAATGAAAATGAGTATGTTTCTATTTTTCTGTATTCTCAAGGTAAAAAGTATATTAGTTATGAAAAGTAAGTTTTCTCAAGTAAATACAAGGAGGAATTGTTAGCAACTGAGACAGAGAAACAAGCAGTAACTTGGAGAACATCAATACAGCAACTGCACATAGACACATCCCAATGAGGTAGCCCAGCACAGGCTTCAAGGCAGGTTTCTCAAGCAAACCCAGGCTCTGTTAGGGACATATTTGGATATTATCAGGTCTGTGCCATCACATCCTGACAGCAATTGCTTTGTTTGCTAACTAGACAGAGCTGTTACAGACATTTAACATCCTTACCATGACTACAGTCAGACCCTTATTTGTGCAAACGCACTGTCAGGCGTAAGGACCAAACCTATGCACGACTCTGAAGTTAAATCACTTGAATTTTCAAAACTATATTAAAAGAACAAAACACTACCTCCCAAATACTGTTTTATGAAGAAAAAAAAAGGCTTATTAGGTGACTTACCACTTCACATCATCATTATGACCAGTGTAATGTCTCTGAAGTTGCTCTTCAACATTGAATAATACAACTACGGATGCGATGAAATATACAGTTTCGCCCGTTGGAAGAAGATAGAGATTACTGCGACAGTCCCGACCCCTATATCCATAGCTAGCATGTTGGTCAAGCTGCAATAACGTTATCTACCAATTAAGAACATTAAAAATAAGGAAAAACAAAATGGATTTTCTGCCCCTGTATTTCCTGAAGTCAGCACCCCTTGGCTTGAGCACAGCTTTATCACTTGACAGTCTTCAGAACTCCCTCCCTTACTACAGTAGAGAGCTAAAGTGTTTCACAGACTTTGAGTTATTGAAAACCTACAGATCCTACAGAAAATACATGGTAAAGATGACAGGAGTTTGTAGACATACTATCCCTTTATCATCCTCTAGAATTTGCTAAATGCCAGACTAAGGCAGTCTTAATTTTGTCCCAAGTGTATTTACTATTTACACTGCTTGACTAATTAAAATAAAAATTTAGACTTCATGGAAACGCTAATAAGTCATTCAGTACATCTCCCTGCATTACATTAGGATTGATTGCATTACCCCGTGTGCAGGTTGATTGATTTCATTATTCTGGGCATTACCAGCCAGATGGATATGAAACCATAAAAGGGTTACATCATCTGTTCCAATTTATTTTTGTAGTATTTAAGGCAGTGGCCCAGATTCTGATGTTAGTCATATCAATACTAATCTAAAATTAATCCAATGAAATAACTAGAACGAACCCAGAAAGAGTATCATTTAGACCAAATGTTAATTCACCCAAACTACGTAGTTTTATTCTTCTAAAGAGTCATTAGGTAGTACAAGTACTTTGGCTTTGCTTTTTTATGTGAACAGAGAGAAACAGCATTAGCAGAATATTGGCAAAACAGAAGTACATTCTAACTCAGTCAATATGGAGAGACTGACTGTGATAAATGTATGGAGAGGTACTGAAGCCCCAATTATACGATATTAAAAAGATACTTGTGCACTATTCTCTATAGTCAATGATCATAGAATGGTTTGGGTTGGAAGGGACCTTAGAGATCCCTTACTAATAAATGCAATAGAAGTAGTGCTGCATAGCCAACCATCAAAATGTGCATTCAAAAATACAGCCAAAAATACTCCCAAACAGAAGTATTTCATCCAAAGTTCCTTCAAGTTTGAGATGTTCAAATTTGAAGACATGAAAACAATCGCTATCTTCAAATTACAAAGCATTTACTATCAATTTTGAATCTTTCTATAAAGTTTAGAGTTACCACTCTAGATTGCAGGACAACGCCTTATTTGTTTCAATTTATTTTTCTTTGTAAGGCCAGATACCATTACCATCTGAAGCCAACATAAAATTTCCCTAGTTCAACAATATGTAATCAAGTTGATAATGAACTAGCAGTTGAAGTTAGCGTAAGGAATTGAACTTTTAAAAAAGTGAAGTAAAAACATTATACAGACATTCACAAGGAACAAATACCTGTGCATAAAAATAGCTATTAAGTGGGAAAGTTTACATCCTTTAGGGAAAACCTCTTTCTTTAAGATTCTCCTTTCTTTAGGGAAAATGTGCTTTCCTTACGATTCTTCCTGTGGGGAACAATGCCTCATTCAACCCTTCGCATGATTGCTGTTGTCAAACGCTCAGTTTCTTTCTATCAGCCTTTTTTCTCAGATGTAAACTCCTGGGGGTTGATCTCTCCTTCTCCTCCCAGTTTCCCACACTCGGATTTGGTGGCTTCAACTTGGATTTGGTGAGTTGGTACTTCAGGGAGCATTATCTTGACCTTTTCTTTTCATTTGGCCCGCAGCCTTTGTTTCAAACCTCCTGCTTGGCAAATGAGCTGGTCTCAAATGGATCTGTGCAGACCACCACTCCTGCCCCGATGTCCCCAGTGCCGATTTCTCGCTCAGGTTTGACCACGTCTGCTCCAGCCCCTCCTTGCACTTCATCATTCAGCATTTCTGTTTCTTCATGTCTGAATATATCTGATATGGTCTGAAGCTTTTTCAGCTTACCCAGATACCTGCTAACACAATCAGAAAACCACTTTGTGGTTCAGGTATGCCCTGAAATCTACACATGCTGGATTTTCTTCTTTCTGTTTCTCATCATAGTCTGCTTTACCCTTTCCATTTGTCTGTCTCACCTCCGATATCTTGTTTCTCTATCTCCATCCTTACGTTATAAAGCATTTCTGGCTGTAATCCCACAGCCAGGTTGACCTGTCCACTACAAAGATGTTTTCCGCTACTCCAGTTCTGTTACCCTCCAAGCAAACAGCTCAGCTCCTCCAAATTAACTGGCACGAATGCCTGCAGTATCAGTTGGTTTTCTGCTGTCTTTGTCTCTCTCCTTAAATTATTTTATGCTCCTGCCCCCAGCTTGTATCCTCAGCATTACAGTCAGTAAATTGGGCTCAGGCGGGGGGGGGTGTGTGTGTGTGTGTTTTCTTTGGTTTGGGGTTTTTTTTTTTAAGGCCTTATATATACCTAGTCATGGGTATAACTTTTCAGTATGGATTTCATGATTGGGTTTAACTGCAAAGAAGTTAAGATCTGAAAAATAAATTAGCACAGTATTTTTGGAAAAATATGTTTCCTCCTCAGTAACCATTCAGAGTTAGTTAGACCATTTTATTACTTCATACCTTTTCTATTCATAGACATCCTTTATATATGGGATTCTGCTGGGCATACAGACACACACTTGGAAGGACATATGAATATTCAAACTAAAAATAATACTCCATCTGGCAAATATTCAGTCACTTAAGTAAGCTTAAGTGAGAAACTAATGAGACTGAAATCATGACCTATGCTAATAATCATTTCTTACAACAGTCTGAAATATTAACTTCTATCCACACACTACTAATGATAGTGTTTTGTTCTGTGGTTGGGTTTTTTTTGTTGTTTCGGCAAGCATCCTTTCTCCTATATCATCCCTAAGCGAGGGGCACCTTGCAAGTGTAGAAAGACATCGGATTCTGCTGGGCATACAGACACACACTTGGAAGGACATATGAATATTCAAACTAAAAATAATACTCCATCTGGCAAATATTCAGTCACTTAAGTAAGCTTAAGTGAGAAACTAATGAGACTGAAATCATGACCTATGCTAATAATCATTTCTTACAACAGTCTGAAATATTAACTTCTATCCACACACTACTAATGACAGTGTTTTGTTCTGTGGTTGGGTTTTTTTGTTGTTTCGGCAAGCATCTTTTCTCCTATATCATCCCTAAGTGAGGGGCACCTTGCAAGTGTAAAAAGACATCATTCAATTCTGTTGTGATATATGGTGAAAGCCTGTACGACAATTAGATGGTAAAATGCTGAAAGCAGTATTTATCACTCTAATCTCAGCTGTTTTATTAATTTTGTGGGGTTTTTGTTTTTTAACTCATCATCAGTTATTTCTGTAGGCATCATCTGCCGTTCCAGCAGAGTGGGGTAGAGCCCACAGGCTCAGCTGCAATAGGAGTACTAAGAATGGTTACTAAATCTGTCATTAATCTCTTGTGAATACAATGGGACTTTTGGAAACTCTGTGTGCATTCTGAAACCACATGCAGTTCTATTTATACAACTTCGAAAAAGACTATATGCAGCCTGTCGTCTTTTTTATGAAGACGAAACACCTTCCTATTTACACTGTTTGGGACTTAAAAAATAAAAAAGTCTTTTTCTTAAAACCTTATGAAGACTTCACCTCTCTAAAGATAGTGGATATTACAAATGAAAATATAAACACAAGATCTGAGTTTATCTTGAATCATCTATTACATACACTAGGATTATTCAAAAATGAAATGTCTTTTTTTTGAATAAAGAATGTATTTTCTCATTATGTTTAAAAGTGAAATGTGAAGATTTCTGTATGTAATGAAACACTGATTTCTTTCAAGTTAGAATTCTGCAAAGATGGCCTCATAGAAGTCAGTGGAAAATTCTGGTTGCTTGGTATTTAGGGTGCCTAAACACAGTTTCAAATCTAAATTCAAACATTATTTTACATACGGTATCTTATGAATTTTATTGCTAAGCACCTATCCATTGCAAAGCGCTATTTAGTTCAGGGCTTATTCAAATACTGAAGTTCATTACAGCATCCTCTAAAGGACAATGGTGCACATTTTATAAAACACAGCTTAAAACAATAAATTACTCCTGAGAATCAGCAAAAAAATCTGAGCCTGTTTTATGTATAGTATAATTAATAATCACAGCTCACTACATTCTTACAATATGCCTAGTTTAATCTTTAGCTAATTAGCATGCTTCAGACTGAACCTTCAGGCAACATTTACGCAAAATCTTTCTTAAGCTGCCACAAGGTACAGAACAACAGCCTCAAGAAATTAACACCTATTTTCAATGGAATGTCGCTTCACTAATCAAATGAACCCGATGATCTTAATTTTGCTATACTTTAGCTCAAAAAAATATTTAAAACAAGTCATTAAGAAGTGACTGATTTCCAGCAGTCCTCTAGCACAGAAAGGATACACCCATTCCAGTTTAAGCCTCTTGGCTGGTAGTTCTACTTTTGCTTCCAAATTGTAAGATTCCACTTGCTCTTTGGGCATGTACATGGTAACAGGACGTCCACGAAGAAACATTTTTACGTATCCTTCCTCTACAAAAGGTCAGAAATGTTTAATGTTACACAAAAAAAACATCAGTTGGGAACTCCAGTGCTCCTCCATCCCTTCCCACTTAACAGTTCAGTGCGTTACAATTACAGAACAACAAGCAATCTCAAACTTAAGAAATTAAGCAGGTTTGGATTTTTCTTCCTAAATCATAATCACTAAGCAGAATTTTTTTTAAACGTACAAAGTCCCTTTTTCCTCTAAATATTTTGAGCAGTATAATTAGAACTAAACAATGTCATGAAGAATTACAAAACTGGAAAGTCTGAAATAAAAACTTTTTTTGGTGAAAAATGTTACAATATTACATTTTTTAAATATTAAAAATGAAGGGGAAAACATCAAAGATTACAATTAACGCAGAAATGCCACTTAAAATTAATTTTATTTTTTAATCAGTATTTACAGTTGAGCATAAGCATCTATTTTCCAACACTCAGTCGCATTCTTTGCATCTCAGTGTAAAGATATGCTTTACACTTGATACAGTGTTAGAGATACATTCGAAATAAGGAACATAAACAATTAGTAAAAGGAATCATGCTGATGTACATGCAGAAAAGATACGAGCTTTGAGAATTACTAAACATTGAAAAAGGAATGACAACATTGACAGCACATTAAAAGAAGGAAAATGACATATAGGAGAGAAGCTACAAAAACTGAATTGGCTGACAGAAGTAAACATTTCTAGAAGAAAATACTAAAAATAATGTGCTGAACTGGTAAGAGATATTTTGGGGAAAGAGAAGCAGGGATTAATAACAGATCTGGAAGTACTGACTTGGGGACTTCATGGGGCTTATAAAACTAGGAGATCTGGGAAATGCCATGAAGGTCTGACTAGGACTTTTGGGAACTGGCAAGGCCAAAGTGGGTGTCCTGTGAACTTCTGGTGAAGTTTGTCCAGATTCAGAACGTGTTGGCTCTTGCTGCTTCATCGGCAGATCAAGGGGTTCAGCCTTGTTCTCATGCGAATCAAGCAGTTTTGGAGTCAGTGACATCTGCAGAGTTACTAGACAGAATAATCGTGGGCACAGAGGAAATGGAAGGGCAGAAGTAACAAAATCATGTAAATGAAAAAAAAATTATACAATTCAGGACTGTTAAAATTATGCTATGAATTGTTAAGTATCACTACAACTATACCATTATTTTTTTAGTTTGAAAACTAAGGCTTTATTTTAATTGGAAGTGTGCATATGCTACAAATCCTGACTAAATTAATAAAAATTACTGGTTGAACAAATAAACATCACAGCTATGCTGTATTACATAAATATATGTGTATTTTGCCTCTAGATTAATTCATTTGGGAGAGAGATCTACCTGACCTGTCACAGTAAAGTTACAGCTAGGGCTCTCTAGCTTCATTTATAGAATTCATACATACAATGACAACAACAGAAAACTGAATGCTAAAAAAAAGCAATAACAATGGTGAAATAATGGTGACAGACGGCTGGAACTTAAGATGCCTGTTAAAATGCTAGAATACTGGAATTGTTTTTAAAAATCTATTCAAATAGATCTGTATTGGAAAATAAACTACAGAGGGTAGAGCACTAAATAGCAGAGCATTACAGCACTATTTGTGTGTGCATGCAGCGTCTATTTAATGAGCTTGAAACACATGCCAATACTACTGATACTGGTGCACTGGAAGTCAATAGATTTTCAGCAGTGACAACCCTTGACTGAGCTTATCAAAGGCTGGGTATGAATAAATGTTTAATTCATTGAACTGCTTTTCTCACCTGAAACTTATGGGACTCATAAAACTTGCACTTAGCCATCTACAGTGGAAGTATTTGACCTAGTCACTCAAAACTCCTTCATACAGTAAACAGGGAGGAACCGGTACTTTTGGACAAATTAATCACATGCTAAAGCAGATGTCCAAAAGCAAGTATAGTAAATTATACCAAGTATATTATAACAAGTATATAAATCATGCCTTCAGAATGCCTCTCTCAACTATAAAGAGCAACTGAGGATGACTATGTCAGGCACCGAAATCCATACTGTGTATCTATTTCTAACTTTTGGTAATATTAATTCCATCTGCACTGATTTTTGTCAGTAATCCAAACGTATTATTTACATAACCAATCTACAACCCTCGTATTTTTCACAGCTAAATTTTTAAGACAGCAGAGTTCTACATGTGAAGATATAGATGTAAAGACAGACAATTATCAAACTACAAAGACAGACCAATGGTGAAACTTTTAGACAAATGTATCTTTTACATCTGCAATTTTGTAAATTTGAAATTGTTGTTGAAAATAACTGTGAAAACTATCAGTTACTGAAATGAAATAAGGCGGCACATGAATGCCGGTGGAATCTGCAAAGGAGACCACTACTGAATGCAGGCATAAAGTTATACAAAGAATACACAGAGGTAGAGACTCTCTAAAAGACTTTGCCTTGAGAACAAACATTCTTTGCTTTGTGAAATTTTATTGCAAAGCTGAAAGATGCTGATTAGTGGAAAAAACGTTAGCATTTAGCTATCTCTAAAAAGCAAGACAAATCTGTGATTATATCACAGACATAAACATGCATCAAAAATGTGCATATTTACACTACAGTTTAGCTAAAGCTTTAGAAAACAATATAGTATGTTTACCAAATGAAACTCTGATTTATGACACTGAGCAAAAAGCACTGAGAAATTAGCTGGAGGCCTAGGTCTGTTTATTGAACGTTCAGAAAAATCTACAGTCTACTCAGTGAGAAAAAGCAAGGGAAAAACCAAGGCTTCTATAATCATGTTAGGCTAATAGCGAAACAGCCAACAAAGGGGCAAATTCTATATGAATTTCAGCAAAAGTGCAGAACACCATTTCAAACACAGTGAACATCCAAGTGTTGCCATATAGCTCTCTCAACATATTTTTTTCTAATTCAAATTCTTCTGAAAAATGCCACAGGAATATCAATTATAACCCCTTGTTATTATTAAAGCGCACCTGAGGGTTATAATTCAGTAGACTGTATAATAGATAGTATAATATTTTTGTTTCATTCAAAAGAAGTAGGAAAGTTTTAACATTGCAAATTGCACACGAGTTAGAAAACAGCCATTCATACATCGAGCTTTTATCCCACCAGTACCATTTTGCTTCGAGAGCTATGAGGTTTTGGAAGTGAAGCCTACCTTTGCAGTGCGTCACACGGCGCTTCCCTTGTGATTACAGAGACAGAGACAGAAGGGCTAGATAAAGATGTGTTTGAATATAATAAGCTCACTAAATACCTGCTCTACAGCCTGCCCAGCCGTATTCTGCTGAAGGCTAACCTGATGCTTGACAGAACACTGAGCCATACTCCATGCCGCACGCTGGGTAATTACAGCCAAAACGCTTTTTCTCCAGCTAGGGGCTCTGTTTAGTTCTTCTGTCATTAAAATACTAACTTAATAACTACAACGATATGCTTAAAGTAAGTAAAATACCAAGTATAACTATACTTTTCTCCTATAATTAGGAGAAAATCATTAATTTCAGTAGGAATTTTGTCCAGGTGAGAAGTAGTGTCACACCTGTTTAATTACTGAGCTTTACCTATGGGGAAAGTGTCAGAAGAAAAATTATTCCAAATACCTTTGCTTACATGGTGCAAGGGAAGGAGGAATGTTAAAAAAGAGAAGTATATTCTGTGTGAGTCAGAAGCTTCCTTTTTCTAAACCAGCAGTATTCACGCAAGGGACATGAACTGCGATTGTATTGCCACAAAATACTTAAGTGCTTACTTAGTTTTAGATATTATTGGAGTTCAAAATCAATTACACTAAACCTCGAAGTATGGCTTAAGAGCTTTGTTGGACGCTGATCCATCAGCTCAGTAAATAAAAGATTTTCTACTTTTTCAGCTTGACATATGATTACTGTTACAGAACTATGCACAAAAATAGTATGATACGTCTGATAAATCAACACGTTTTCTCCTTTCCTTATTTCATGAAAGGAAGCTTTTATTTTACTTGTCCTTGGTTTCTCAGAACAAAAACAACTGTTATGTATGCTGTTCCACTTCTTATCTTTATTGAGGTTGTTCAAAAGTTTGCAGCTGTCTAATGACAAGGACAAATTCTGCTTTTGCTTATACCTACTATTTCACTTTTGAAATCTTTTTTACAGGGATAATACATACGTAGGAAAAATTAAAGGGATTTTCAAATGAAAGATAGACCTCCAAAACTGTAGTAACTCCTTTTTTATTTGTAATTAGACACATTTTATTATGAGGCATTGGGACAGATGTGACATTCTTTAACAGTAGTTGACAGCTCCCTTTTATGACTAAATTAACATGACAGCATCATAGTTGGAACTTGGCACATGCTTTAATTAACAAAACCTTAATGCTGCTTTGAAAGGGAAAACATATTTGGGGTAAGAAGACACAGCCTTTTTCTTTTTTGTCTTACAGAGAAACCTAACTGTAAAATAAACCTATTGGGCCAATAAAAACTAGGGCCAACTTATAAACTTTTTAAAAAATATATCATCAGTAGCCTGTAAGTATCATGCTCAGATTTCCAATACCAGTTCTTAGGCATCCACAGAAAAAAAAAAAAATCTATTACGTTATCACAGTTGTCTGCTTAAAAATTTTAAAAGTTCCTACCTGCACTGAACATTGGTTCCTTCGGTTTGCTGTGAAAATAATGAAGAAATTTCTATTTTAAAAAGCGCATGCATACAGTCTGCACATATAAAGGTATAAATAGAATAGAAAATTTAAAATATAATACAAAAGATACTAAATAATTATTTTGTGTGTACATACAAATACTTTTTCAATTCAATTATTTACAAGGTAAATCCCCAGGCAGACACAATTAAAAGCAGCATACACTGCAGCTCCTTGATAGAAGGCGTTAAAACTTTTACATTCAGTTCTCCTTACATTCTCAAAACTATACATTTTCTTCTACCGACTACCAAATCCTCTTCTCCTGCAGAGTTAGTCCAGTTACAGGAGAACACAGAAATTGGTCATGAGTAGCTGAATCAGTTTTGGTTTCCAGTCGGTGGGTTGTTACTCTAACGCAGTCTGCAACTACAGCAAAAAGTGAGGAGCAGATCCTTAACTACAAATTCTCTCTGCATATGTGGAGCAGGGGGGGCTACTGTATCAGTGCATGTGGGGGTGTTCGCTTACTTCATGGCTTTGTTCCCTCGGGATTTAAGGAGTAAACCAAACCTGGAATCGTGCTTTTCCACAGAGTTTAAATAAAGCATGGAATTGCCCGATTTTTTCTTGGTGAATGACAGTACTTGGTAAAACCCAGAAAGCACATATCCATCACGATTAAAATGTCTTCTCTTTCTCACTGCACTGCTGCCTGGAAGACAGCCCAAAACAGTTTGTCTTTTCATCTTGAGACAATATTTAGCAAAACTTGTGGGGAAAATACATGAAGCATATGGAGAAGGAAGATGCAGAAAAGCTGAGGAGCTCTCTGGACCAGGAGTCCTGTGTCCAGCTCTGGAGCCCCCAGCACAGGAAACACACGGACCTGTTGGAGAGGGTCCAGAGGAGGGCCACAAAAATGATCAGAACACCTCTCTTGTGAAGAAAGCCTGGAGAAGAGAAGGCTCTGCAGAGACCTTATTGCAGCCTTCCAGTACTTGAAGGGGGCTTATGAGAAAAACGGGGATAGACTTTTTAGCAGGGCCTGTGGCAGCAGGACAAGGGGTAATGGTTTTAAACTAAAAGAGGGTAGATTTAGATATAAGGAAGAAATTTTTCACAATGAGGGTTGCCCAGAGAGGTGGTAGATGCCCCATCCCTGGAAACATTCCAGGTCAGGCTGGATGGGGCTCTGAGCAACCTGCTCTGGTTGAAAGTGTCCCTGCTCACTGCAGGGGGGTTGGACCAGGTGGCCTTTAACAGTCCCTTCTGACCGAAACTATTCTCTGATTCTATGACAGTGCTACCCTCGGCAGAAAGAAGCAATCTTTTTCAAGAAATACCAGTCATTTGTTTTCTTTGTCCTTTGCCCCCATATAATTAGGCTTGAGGATGTTTCTCATGAAGCATGAAAGGGACACAAAGCTATAGTGCGCAGCTATTTTTCCTCCCAAATCCATTTTCTTTCTATCCAGTAGAAGTTCCAAATTTCAGATTACTGTTGTATGTTTCCTAGGGTGATCCCAAAAGGGTTAAAAGCCCTAGAATTCTGATGGGGAAATGCTGAAGCATGAAGTATTCCTAGAGCTGTGGTGCCATCTCCATACCTGTTCCTAGACTGCAGTGGGCAGATAAAGAGAAACCAAAAAAAGGAACAATACTGGGTTGGATTTTTGTACAAATTTTTTCTAAGCATAAAAGATTCTCTCTCCAATAGAATTTGTAGCAAATAATTTTACAGTATTTTTCTTTTTGTCTTCATTTGACAGTTATATTGACAATAGTACACTTACTTAATGATAAAACCAAACCAAAAAAAGAATTCTACTGATCCTACCCACCAACTTAGCAACTTTTCATAATATTAGCCTTAGTATTAATCATGCAAAGTTCATGCTTCAAGCTGGCATACACAGCCAATCTATATAAATCGCATGATGTGTTGCCATTGTTAACACCAAGATTAACATTTTCTCTTATGAATGAAGATATTTTTAGAAAATAAAAACCTTATGGGACAGAGCACTAGTCAGAAATGCTACCATATTAGAGACAATAGAGCCCTTAGCTCTGAAAAGATCGTGCTGACTTATTCAAGCTAATCAAGCTAATGTGAAAGGCTGATTCACGATAGTAATAAAGCAAATCGTGTACTTTCTAATTATACAAACCCTCACCACACACACAGCTCAGAGCTCTGACTACCCTTTTTCTTTTTCGTGAACTTGAGTCACTTCCTACTTACCTAGCCCTTAGGAAGGCTTACCCCTGGCTCATAGCCGTAGGGAGTTGGGACACCCCATCGCAGCATGGGAGATTATGGCCATCTCCTTAAGCTTAAAGCTTCTTAAAATAGCTTTCGATAGCATTATTATTTTGCGTAACAGCCTACAACTCTATATGCTTTGAAAAACTTTGCGATTGCCTTTTTAGACTCCTGGCATGCATTTTACTTTAAGCTTCATCTACAGAACACAGAATCATAGAATTGAATCACAGAGTATCTTAAGTTGGAAGGGACGCGTAACGATCAATGATACAAATAATAAGGCTGTGAGTAGATGGTTAAGTAGCATGCTCTTCCTCACTCTTTCACACACACAGTTAGCTTTAGGAGGACATCCTTAGCCCACGATGTACAGAATCATGCTAATTTTTCTTCTAGTCCCATGACTCTTGCTTTGTATTTTGCACGGTGGCCCAGCTTCAACAGGAAGGACACTCTTTGAGGAGGTGAGAGCTGTGGTGCTGAACACCCTCAAGGCTGCTTGTGACATAAATCGGGGAAAACTCTAACAATACAATGATTGTTCTGACAGTGGCACCAACATCACTAGCTCCAGCTAAGGCAATCTAACACGCGCTCTCGATTAGTTCCTTGGGATACTTGCACATTATTTAAGCGTTGCATCACTTGTGTGCTGGACCTCTTCCCTGAGTCCAAAGTAAGTGATTTCTGAGCAATGCTGTTGCTCAACCCTTTGTGGCCTAACAACTGCAGAATGACATAGCCACTGGGTTTCTGTTAAAATAGTATGAAAAAAGTAAACATGCATCTCAAGTACCGCGGTCAACTTTAGATCGCAAACAAAACAATTTTGCAGATAATCATTAGTTATGTTGTGATGTTTTTATTTCTCGGCTATTTTGGAATGAATTTTTCAAGTGTACAATACCTCTCTGTAGCTGCTAGAAAACATCTCTTTCCTTAATTTAAATGAACAATCTAATTAGTATTTTCACCTTATTTCTTTAGTAGTTTTAACATATAGCTAATTTCAGACAATTGTCACCTTATGTATGTAGCAGGAACTCAGGGATATCTTCAAAAAGCAGATGTATTTAGGTTTTGACAGGTATATCTTTCACTGCACAACACACACAGAATTCACCTTTTGGGGACTTGATTTAATGAATTTTTTTGTACGAGATAAAAATATACAGAGGAAGGACACTGAAGGATCATCACATGTTTAAAACTTTTTTGAAAAACTACAGTAAATTACTACAGTAAATGGTAAAAGTAATGACATTTCACCATTGGTAGGTGAAATATTCCTCTTCATATTCCAGAAACAAAGCTACCCATCTAATTACAGAAACTTAATTTTTTAACAAAAAGTTTCCATAAGAAATTTGTTTTGTTTACGTAAGATGGGTTTTCTTAAATCAATGAGGTGACAACATAAGGGCTGTTGCTATAATTTGGTATGTGCAATAGAGCAGGAAATTATACATATAAGCAAAATAAAAAGTAAAACCTTAGAAAAATCCATCAGCTTGAAGAGATCAATACAGAAAACAGCAGCTTCTTGTTAAGGAATTCACTGAGGCAATGTAGCTGCGTGAAATTATGCGCTATTGCAACACTTCACAGAATTTCCAGCTTAAACTAACGGCAAACTCAGCAGTCCATTCACTGGGTATTTTTTGCTTAATTTTACCTTTTAAAACTTTCAGGCTCACTTGTCCCTAACAGTGTTGGTATTTGGGGTTCTCCCTCAGCAATATTCTGTTAGATGTACCAAGGTATACATTCCTTGTGCTATAAGGATCTGAGGTGTTCAGTAACAGTTTTGTCCAAGTCTGCAAATGCAGAAAGAGACATGGCTCCTAAGTAATCCAATAAAATATTGATTTTCCTCTCAAAAGTAATATTTATTTACGGATTACTTAAAGAACTAACTGCTACAGTAATTTTTTTTTTGCAATTATATTGCAGTCTTTTAGGAAATTACAACGTAAAATATAAAGTACGAAAACCTTATAAACAAAAACAAAACTATATCTATTCAGTTATCTGTTGTTTATCATTATTTTACAAAAAAATTAAGGAAAAAAATACCATATACTGAGATGAAGTCAAATTTCCATAAGTACCAGAAGGCCCAGTCCTACAGAATTCAGTCAGCTTATAAAAACTTCATTCACATGCATAGAGGCACAACATTAAGATGATTTTAGACTGATTAAATTTTTAGTTTCTGTAAATATTACAAATTTGTAACATTTTCTTTGATAGTATTCTCAATTTTTTAACTACTCCCATAATTTTTCAAGCCTCTCACAAGTCTCGTAAGTTTTGCACACTTGCTGTCTTGCTTCATAGCTGAAAACGTTAAGCCAGAAAACAAACTATTAATAATGTAATCACCCATATTTAGGCTGTCCATTAGTACACATCAACCTCAGTCATCGCTTACATCAAGCAAATGTGCTGAAGGGATAAAAAGGAAGGGATGTTTTGTGCTACCCCATTGCTCACAAACAGCCCAATGACTCCTGTGATGGTACTGATGCCCAGACAAAGCAGGTAAATTATGTCATTATGTGATCTCCATTAACGTTGTGTTTCTATGGTCACATCATCTGTGAGACAGTAAAACTGTACCATCAACACGACTTTTTGAATCGGAGACTGGATTAGAACAGGTCAAGTGAAATAGCCAAGACTAAAATCTGCCTAGGAAATACGGGAAAGAACCTGATGAGCAGTACAGTGACTTTCCCACCACCATCAACGAATCAGCTATTTGTTCAAGACCATCTTGAATCTGAAACCCTTGGACAAGACATTCTCTTCTCCTTGTAGTGTCAGCCACATAGAAAAGCATCATCAGAGGCACACAGAGACAGGCATCCCTTTATTTCTCTTTGTACTGGATAACACCCGCATGTAAGCCTCTTCCTCCATTTCTCCTTAATCTGACCCTCGGACTGAGACAGTCATTGCTCAGAGACCAGCTGGGCATCAGTCTACATGTGGGAGGTGGTGAGTGATTGCCTTTCCATGACATGTTTTGTTTTTTCTTCATCTTTCCTTCACTTATTAAACTGCCTTTACCTTGACCTATGGGTTTTCTCACTTTTGCTCTTCCTATTCTCTTCCCCCACCCTGCTGGGGGAGAAGGAGCGAGCAGCTCCCAGTGTGGTGCTTGGCTGCCAGCTGGGGTCAACGTACCACAACCAGGAATTTGAAGAAGTACATGTCAGGCACTTGAAGACCAAGGGAAACCACTAAGATAAAGGAAAAGGCATGTTTAACAATTATGAACTTTTTTGGGCAACTCAAGGTTCTCACATTGTTCATGGTTTGGAAATAAGGCAAATAAGTTTCATAAAAATTGTAAAAACTGTTTAAAATGTTTAAGAATATATTTTTGTCCAACTATTGGAGCTTTAAAAAAAAAAACAAAACTTCCAATAATTGCTAAATTAAAGAAACTAATTTTAGTAAAGAAACTAAATTCATTGTTAGGACAGTAGGCAGAGAAAAGAGACAGATATTTAGGTAACATTACCTTTCACTGTTCTTTTTACCACTAGATGAACTGCTGGTGGATCCAGTGCGGTTGCGACTCCCTTTGGAATCTCCATAGCTTTCCCTCCGACCGCCTGGGGACACACGCTCAGCTGAACTGGTTCTCTTAACGGTGCTAATAAATAAAAGAGCAAGTTTTACAGTGGCACTTGTAAAAGCACATATCCCTATGACAAATATTTTTGAGAAACATATCAAGTGGAATGCTGACCCTAAAAATAACTACAGCTTTGTTTTTAATTATAACTGGATTTGTTAAAGAGCCTACGTAAGAGTTTTGCTGAGTACCTGGTGCAACAGGAGACAATCAGTCTGTTTTTTCCTTAATCATAAAATAGAACATCAGCTAAAACAGTTTCACAGAAAAGTCGCAATATCTCTTTTCCAGGTTACATTTCAAATCTCTTACTACCACTCCCCACTTCTGAATTTTTGGAATCTCTTAATAAGAACAGAAAGATTTAAGAAGACAGCATATTACCTCCCACCTCCAGCCAGACTACAGAGAATGCTGAAAGTAGGGCAAAATTTGAGCACCAGCAAGCTAACTTTGTGCCTTCGTTCAGTATCAATTATTCTGTGGATCAAAGTTAATTTTAACATACCCCAAAGTGCAACTAATGGTGAGCCAGCCTGAATTTTTTCGTTAGCTTGTCAAAAACGTATGCTTCCTACTTACATTAGATTCCCCACATCCCCTGACAGGGTGTTTCTCAAAGGCTTAAAGTTTGCCTTACTCTCTCGCTCTTCAACCATCCTCCCTGCCAAGAGAGCTGTCAGGGAGCTACTGTATGACTTTATGGCACCCCTCAGACACCCAACTCGTTCTGATGGAAAAACGAGAGCCAAAAAACAAGCAGCATTACTTAGTAAGTTAAGAGAAGCCATCTCAGAGCTTACACCTAACAGGAGACAAATTACTGTGGTTCTTCCTTAGTCCAAAGCACTTCTCCCTAAAGCAGTGCTTCCTGGCAGGAGAGGGAGCAGCTAAGGGTACGGCCCCGAGCTGGGCGATGCTTTTCACTTTGCTGCGCTGCCTGTGCGGCAGAGAGGTGCAGGCAGCGTCGCCCGGACCGAGGCAGGAACGCTCCCACGGCAGCGGCTGAACAACAGGACTCGGTGTCAGCGTCTCGTTCCCCGCCGCCAGCCCTGTGCTGTTTTCTCCCCTCCAAAGAGCAGAACAGACATGTTCCCTTTACGCCTAAGATCCCCATAACTACACGGCCACCTTCAGCAGCTCTCTCACTCCAGAAGCCATGGATACCAACGATCACATTCAAGCTCACACCCCTCTACCCAAATCCCAACCACAAGCTCCCTCCCTCTGTGAAAACTTCAGTTTTCTGTTCTTGCTCCTTCAAGGCCAGGTCTCACCCCAGTCGCCCCTTTTACCACCCCCAGCCAGCTCCCCCTTGACCACTGCACACGCCCAGAGATGCTCTGCTTACCATAAAGCTCATCTCAAGCACCCTCAAGGACTATTCCAAGCCTCCCCATCAGCCCCTAACAACTACCCCCACCCTGTTTGCGTGGTGGAGAAAGAGAGGAACTAGCTCTTCATAACTAAAGGAAATGAGATAAGACTTTTCTGCCTGGTCAAAAAATATCAGCTGACCAACCGCACACCACCACTGATACACTCTTTTTTTTTTTTTTTTTTTTTAATATATTCCTGCTCCCTTATTTTTTTTTCCCAGGGAGGAAGGGAATGTTTAAAAACCT